TCAATCGAGGAACCTCCGGTGTTGGAGTTGAAGCCGTTGCCTCCACACCTCAGGTATGAATTCTTAGGCCCTAGTTCAACTTTTCCAGTTATTCTTTTCTCTTGTCTTACTAACATGCAGGTAGATGCCACATTGGCGGTGCTCCAAAAGCAGAAGAAGGCAATTGGATGGACTTTAGCTGATATTCGGGGAATAAGCGCCGCCTTTTGTATGCACAAGATTATTCTTGAAGATGATGCAAAGCCCTCCTTGGAACATCAAATGAGGTTGAACGAGGCAATGCAAGAAGTTGTGAAAAAGGAGGTGATCAAGTGGTTGGATGCCGGGGTTGTGTAACCCATCTCTGATAGTTCTTGGACTTCTCCGGTGCAATGTGTACCGAAGAAGGGTGGTATGACCGTGGTGACCAATGCGCAAAATGAACTAATTCCTACCAGAACAGTCACTGGATGGATGGTGTGCATGGATTACCGCAAGTTGAACAAAATGACTCGCAAGGATCACTTTCCATTGCCTTTCCTTGACCAGATGCTTGATAGACTTGCTGGGCGTGCCTTCTATTGTTTCTTGGATGAGTATTCTGGGTACAACCAAATTTTGATTGCTCTTGAAGATCAGGAGAAAACTACCTTCACTTGCCCATATGGTACCTTTGCCTTTTTTAGGATGCCATTCGGGTTGTGTAATGCACCGGCTACATTCCAGCGGTGTATGATCGCCATTTTCACCGACATAGTGGAAGATATTTTGGAGGTGTTCAAGGAAGACTTTAGTGTCGTGGGTGACTCATTTTATGAATGCTTGAAGAACCTTGATAGGGTGTTGGCCCGGTGTGAAGAAACCAATCTTGTGCTCAACTGGGAAAAATTCCACTTCATGGTTGAGGAGGGCATAGCCCTTGGCCATAAAATTTCAAAACATGGCATAGAGGTGGACAAAGCTAAAATAGAGGTGATTTCAAGGCTTCCTCCCCCTACTTCTGTCAAAGGGGTTAGAAGTTTTCTTGGGCATGCGGGGTTCTACCGAAGATTTATCAAGGATTTTTCGAAGGTAGTGAACCCTTTGTGCAAGCTATTGGAAAAGGATGCCAAGTTCGTGTTCGATGAGAGATGTATGCAAGCTTTTGAACTTCTCAAGCACAAGTTGACCACCACTCCTATTATTACCGCACCCAATTGGAGCTTGCCTTTCGAGCTCATGTGTGATGCGAGTGATGTTGCGGTTGGGGCGGTCTTGGGTCAAAGAGTGAATAAAATATTTCATCCGGTGTATTATGCGAGCAAGATAATGAATGATGCTCATATGAATTACACGGTGACTGAAAAAGAGTTGTTGGCTATTGTGTTCGCAATGGAGAAATTTCGGCCATATCTCATGGGAGCCAAGGTCATAGTTCATACCGATCATGCCGCTCTTCGGTANCCCACCGCGGCCGCAATCCATTTGATGCGGTCCGCGGTGAGGAGATTCAGAGAGGTGCAGATTTTGGAAGCTCAAGCACTGCGGCCGCAATCCATTTTATGCGGACCGCAATAGCCTCACCGCGACCGCAATCCATTTTATGCGGACAACAGTAGGCTCATCGCGACCGCAATCCATTTTATGCGGTCCACGGAGAAGAGATTCAGAGAGCTGGAATTTTAAAAGTTGGAAGCCACTACGGCCACAACCCATTTTATGCGGACCGCAGTGAAGCCACCGCGGCCGCGTTGCATTTTCTGCGGTCCGCGGTGGCCAGATTCAGAGACCTTAAAATCAAGCTAGAAAGCCTCACCGCGGCCGCGGTGCATTTTTCGCGGTCCGCGGTACCTCTGTAGGGGTATTTTTGTCCAGAAAATTCGACCTTGTATAAATAGTTCTTTTTCAGATTTTTAGGGTATCTAACTTTTAGCTGAGCACGTGAACGGCATATTTAGACTATTTTGAGTAATTTTATTGTGGGTTTATCATTAAATCTTCAATTATTAGCTTGTAAACATATTATATGGGTTATTCTTTATCTAGTTATCTGTTTTCTTCCATTATTATGAGTAGCTAGACCCATTAGCTAGGGTTGTGGCTCAACCCTAGTGTGGGTATTTGATGGGTCTTGTGCTTTAAGGCTTAGATGTTTATGGGTGGTTGATATTTCGACTGATTTGTGTTTTCTATGTTGGATTAGTGGTTGCAAACACTAATTTGTGCCTTTTTGACTTGGGCTCTTCTTGAGAAAGAGAGTTTGAGTCTAAGCAATCAGTCCAACAAGGAATTGGGACGTACTCAAGAGATTGATATCCCCAATTAAAGGGTTAAATCTAGAGATAGTAATACCCGACTTGAGCCTACATTGCTTGCATAATTTCGACACCCAATTGGTCTTGAGAAAATCAATTAGGGCAAAGTCACTCAAGCTACCGAGAGGTATAGAGTGAGTAGTGTCGTGCATTGTCTATATCGCGATCCCAAACATAACATCTTGCTTTAGACTTTAGAACCCGTCAAGTATTCACCTAGGGGAAAGTCACTTCCTTAGTGCCTCGTTACCTATTTAGAAAACCTTTCAAGCAATTATTCTTAGTTAATTTAGCATCTCAGTAGTATAATATTAGAAGTAAAAAAACAAACAATTATGATTGGAAGCGTAATTAAGAGCATTACGCATTGCTAGTTTAGATAGGAATCCAATTCCCAAATCTAGCTCCCTGTGGATTCGATCCCGACCTTTTCGGGTAAAAGTTGCATCGACCGCTCTCGCCACTCCATAGTAGTGCAGGGTTGGCCCCGATCAGAACCTTCGAAAAATTAGATCTGGTTTTTTCACTACGAGGGATTATCTCCTCCACCGTAGGAAATTTCTCGTCTTCAATAGTAATTGAAACGGTATCATCATGGGGAGGCATGCACACTGCCAAAGGAATAGGGTCAGTTGCCCTACCAAAGCTAGAAGAAACATTAACCATTGTTTTTTAGAAAGGGTGTTGCAAGTACATGAAGGTTAGGAGCAGCAGAAATCACCAGAATCAGGGAAAGCAAAAATACGGAAGCAAGGTCAAGAGGGAAAGAACTCTGAATGAAGAAGGAAGAAGAAGATACAGGGGTTCAATATCTAGAGTGCAAAGAATAAGGCAAAGGGTTTCATATCCCTATTTATAAGAATTCAGGCATCAATACTGAAAAAACAAACCGTCACAACCCAACGCAGGTATCGAAACGGCAGAGGCACAGGAAATGACACAAGGCATCAGAAAAATGCGTAGTAATGACGTCATTCTGAATCGACGTGACTTTAGGTTGCTGCTCACGAAAGGCCACGTTGCTACCTCGGCTGAAATGCTATTGCTCGACCTGCTCGTCTAAACTTCTCAACCACAACTAACAAAGTCCGCTCATCGAAGTCATCCAGGGCCGGCCTTAATAAGCGGAGGGACTAACTGTATAGGTCAAAATATGCTTTAAGGCAATTTAACATAAAGTGGTATTAAGGAAAAAGACGTGGTCGAGGTCGACTAGGAAACAATAGGATTCGTGGCCGGGCAGCCAACAATGGTCGAGGTCGAGCACCAAGGACAGAGCACTAACATCTAGTTTTTGTAATAAGATACTAAAGATAATATTCCATTGAATATTCTCTGCATTTGTACTATTAGGATTGATTCGGGATATGACTCATATAAAGAGAAAAGGAGATAAGGGGATAAGGCATGTAATATTCATTTGATAAGTACACTTTTTGAGAAGAAGACTATCTCTCTCTAGCAAAGATACAAACTCTCTAAGATTTCATTATCTATTATTTCATATTTTTTTTCATCAGATCCGAGAATAGTTCCAATATTCTAGGATTTGTTTGTCATTCATCACTGTCAGAAAGAAGAATCATCCACCTCATTCAATATTAGGTGAATCATTTTTCTTATTTACATAAATGCTATTTATTGCTTGATGTTCCTCTATTATTGCTCAAATCCTTTGGAATATTAAATGCACATTGTTTTCAGTTTCCTACCAGCATTACCTCACGTTATTTATACTAACTAGTTCTAAATCTAGAGATATTATCATTACCTAGGTTTAATCCTTTATTAAATAAGATTTAATAGTTTAACCGAAAGTTTATACTTTTTGGTCAAACAAAGATTTTTTTTGTTTAACTATTTGGTATTTAAAATTCATACTAATCTAGATATTGTTGAGGAATAGATGAATTTTCCCGATGAAATAGAAATTGGATTCGTGTAATAGGAGAAAGATATTTCATTCCTTAGCCGGAAAGATATGTGGCATGAAAGAGGGATTAAGTGGAACAGAATTGACTGAGTGGTAGAGTCGTTAAAATACTTGTTTGTTCCATATATTGGACCTTAGCCCCATGGAGGAATATGTTACTCTAAAACATGAAAGAATTGAAATCTTATAAATCAAAATACTATGTAAGAATGATATGAACTACCTAAACAAGAATTTTTTAACAACAACAACCAGTTCAAATATTCACAACCAAGAAGGAAATGCTCTCTAAGAGAAATTTTTCATGTTCAAGTCTTGAACTTGTGACATCTAATTAAGAGTCGAGAGATCTCATCCATTCGACCATATTCCTTAGTAATCATTATCCTTTCCTTTACTCTAGAATGCGGCTACTCAAAAATAAAATAAAATAAAATTATAAAAAGATGATTGAATCATGAGAAATAAATCAAAAGGGATTGTTACGCAAATAGCCAGTCAAATTTCATATTTATTTTTTCTAGCCGATATATATAGAGTATACATTGATTAATTATTTACAGCTATACATATATCATATATATTATATATTTGCCGGTTATTATTAGTTTAAGAGATATGATGAGCGGCTATTTGGGTAACTTCTTCGAATTAAAAGGGGTTATCTAAGGCATCACGTGAAGAGAAGTTATTGATGACCTACCAACAATCTGTATTTGCTATTACGGTGAGAAAGTCTTAACCAAAAAAAAAAAGTGTCGTCTCTATAAATGCTCTTTTCTTCCCAACTTACCCTAAAATAAAACCCCACATAATACTCGGACAAAACAACCTAAAAACACCGTCACACACACACACACACACTCATCAAAATCCAAGAAAAATATTATAGCACAAACTCTAAAAGAAAAACTAGAAACTCTCTCTCTTCTTCTTCTTCTTGTTCTTTCTTTTCTCTCTATGATTAATATCATATTAATTTAAAGATGATGAATCAAGAAAAAGATCAGAATCTTGATTCAAACAGAAACTGCTACAGCAAAAAGATGGAGAAAAATGGAATAAGAAAAAGGGAAAAATACCCTTTAATTTCTTATGATGAATTACCAGAATATATGAAGGATAATGAGTATATATTGAATTATTACAGAGCTAATTGGCCTCTCAAAGAAGCTTTTTTCAGTATTTTTCGTTGGCATAATGAAACTCTTAATGTCTGGACGTAAGTATCTCATTTCATGTTTTATTTCTTAATTTAGATTTTTAAATAGCATAAATTGCAATTTATTTATCTGGAATTTTGAATATATTTTTTTTACAGGCATTTGATTGGATTTATTCTATTTATGGTATTAACCATAGCTAATGCAGAGCATATATCTCAACTTGCTGATTTTATGACTATGTTTATTAGGTATGTGCTTAATTCTGCTTCTTTTTTTAATTTTTTTCTACGTATATTTTTTTTCTCCAAATTTTAATTCCTTACACATCTAATTGTTGACAGTGAAATAAAACAACATTTTTTACATTTCTTTTCTCTTATTTATTTTCTTATATTATTGCATTTCCTGTTGAGCCGAGAGTCTCCTGGAAACAACCTCTCTGTCCTTTTCGGGGTAGGGGTAAGGTCTGCATACACTCTACTCTCCCCAGACCTCACTAGTGGGATTTTACTGGGAATATTGTTATTTGTTGTTGTTGTTGAAATAAAACAACATTTTATTTTATTTTATTGAAAATACCTTTTTTTTCCATTCATTTACCACCAAACCTCACTCATCAAACTGCATATTTTAAGACTAATTTGTTTTTTTATTTATTTATTTTTATTTTTCACTATTTTCAATAATTTATCTTTCTTTAATTAAGTGTCTATATATCCCTTTCCTCATTGTCTTAAGTAATTAGATAGCGTTTAACTTCAACAAAAGAGATTATAGGTTTGACTATTCTCATGTAACACCAATTGCAGCACAAAAAAATAAAGAGATAATGTTAAAAAAAAAGAGAGAAATTAATAGATTAGGACTTATGATATGATAAAAGTGTCACCTAAATGATGATAATATTAAAAAGAAAATAGGGTATTAATGAGTTAGGAATGATAGAGCCACCTACCATAAATGATTATGGTAAGATGGATGGAATCTTTCTATTCTTCGCTAGTGATCTCGAGTTCGAGCTAAATTTTTTTTTTCTTTGGTAGGATTTATACCATGCAAATTCAAATTAGTGTGGACGTATCACGAATATTAAACACTGTATCAGAAACTAAAAAAGATATATCAGGAACGAGTCGATTGAATCCAGTAGCTTTGGTTCAAATCTTGTTTTTGCTTTAAAAAATTGTTGAATATTTATAAATTGTTAACTTAGAACCCAGTAATTTAAAAAAATTAGAATTCTAACCCATAAATTTAAAATTCTCGCTCCTAATATTATATCCTTTTTGACGTGCTGAACTTTAGTACGTAAGCAACTTTTTATGAAACCAAGGCCTAAAATATCCGTAGGTGGTCCATTATTGAAATTTTTTATTTTGTGTCTCACACAACTGACACTATTTGTGTGAGGTCTCTTTTTTGTCTCATAACTGTATGGGTCCCAGAATTTTGTGGACCCAGATATGTAAGGTGGGTCCACAAATATGTGATATAAAAAGAGGTCTCACACAACTAAGTTAAAAAGACAGTTTCAGTATGCTTGTACGATATTGCTGGCGATCAAACTCCCAACCACTTTCTTTAAATGTTTGCACTTCTATTTCAGCTGATATTTTCTTGGTAATATTTTGAGAAAGATATTTAATATGCTTAATATCATGAGTATTTGTTTAAATTATCTTTTATTACTTTTTAATCTTCTCATTTAATTAATATTTCACTAGTGGAAACAATAATTTCAGTTCGCCAAAATGACTAGACGCTCAAGGGAGATGAGCATGTTTGGTGTCTCTTTTTGCGTATTAATTAAGTACTTTTCCTTTTATTTCTTTTTTTTTTGATTTATTCTTTTAAAATTTTCACACATTAAAACTCCTATTCTTCTTTTGTCACCGTAAAATCTTATATGATTAAACAAAATATGTATATTAAAACTAGTAACAGTGTATGATGTAGCATATAATCAATGGGTTCAACTGACCCGATATTTTCAACATGCATAATAAATATAGATGCAAGAAATTTTTTTTAAAATTTTAATTTTGAACTTATAATTCAAAAGTGTAACGAGTTCGCAATAGTAAGAACTAAGGTGGAACATGTAAATTTATATCTTGGACCCCTTCTTAATAGTGCATCCATCCTGCCAAAATCCTAATCCGTCTCTGATATCATGAGTATTTGTTTAAATTATCTTTTATTACTTTTTAATCTTCTCATTTAATTAATATTTCACTAGTTGAAACAATAAAGGTAAATTCAGAAAAAGTAATAAATAACGTCTTGTTTTTCTAAAAGTCAACTATTTTGAAACAAATTCAGTTCGCCAAAATGACTAATAATACGGGGACTAATAACCAACTATTCCATTTCAACACATAAAACTAAACTTTAATATCAATTTTTTCTAATCCATTAAAAATACTTGAATTAATTTTGAATATTAGTAATTATCATAGTCTAAGATGAAAAAATTTGAATTTTCCTTCAATCTTGCAGAAATTTTCCGACGAGTGGAGATGCAAACATCTCTCACAATTCAAAGGCTTTTTCCCAGGTGAGTTACCTGCTGGGTTTTTGAATATTGTTAGTAGTATATTTTCATGAACTTTTAAAAGTTTAATCTCGGGCAAAAATCAGCTCGCGGCCGAAACTATTACATCCGATAGTCGCAAAAGGGTATAAAATTTGTATGTAACATACAAAAATGTATATATACACAAAAAATTATACATTTTCTGGCTATTATTTTGAGTGCGGTTATCCAGTGTAAACTGATAATTTTACACTATCAGATCACATAAATGATAACTACAGATAACTTTCATAACAAGTGAAATTAATTACTAGAAAAATATAATTGTCAACCTGCTATAACAAGTTAAATCACATTAATGTGTAAAAATTCTTTGCGCCACCAGTATATACAAGTTAAATTCATTTTTAGGAAGGATTTAAGTTGTGCGAACTGATAATGTATAGCTTTTTATACTTTCAGACTAAACTTACCACAATATCAGGTAACTCTTCGTATTAAGTTGGATATGATAATATGGAAAATAGAGTGATGACGTGCTCAGTAGCAGATCCAGGATTTTAAAGTCATGGGTGCTCGCTAATAAAATTCTGAAAGAAGAGAAAAAAAGAGTTAAGTTGTGGGTGCTCACTCAATATTTGTCTAAATATTTTTATAATTACCTATGCAAATTTACTAAATCTGGTCAAAGATAATGAACGCTCGAGCACCCACAATTGACAATGTAGATCCGCAACTGGACGTGCTATAACCAGAATAAATTGCATTGGTAGCGTACGTAAAACATCTTTACAATGTAGGCAACAATGTATACAACTTTAACCCTTCTAATAACTATGTCATTGAACTGATAGCGTAAAAATTCTTTACACTGACGCGCAGGACCGACACTTTCAAATGGACATCATATTATCAAATAGGGTAACAAATGAAGCAACTTGGCCATTCTATGTGTTCTTAGCTGGTGCAATGTTCTGTCTTCTATCAAGCAGTATTTGCCATCTTTTCTCATGTCACTCACAAAAACTTAACCTTTTCTTAGTCCAAATGGACTATGTTGGAATATCAATAATGATCATCACTTCCTTCTTTCCACCAATGTATTACATCTTTCAATGTTCACCACATTGGCAAATTGTTTACCTCATTGGAATCACAATCTTGGGAATTTGCACTATCATAACCTTGCTCTTCCCCGTGTTTTCGACCGGAAAATATCGGTCGTTTCGGGCCGGGCTTTTCATGTCTATGGGTTGTTTTGGTCTGGTACCTGCAATCCATGCACTTGTGTTGAATTGGAATGATCCTGTGAGGAATGTTACACTTGCATATGAATCTGCAATGGCATTGTGTTATATTACAGGGGCTATATTTTATGTTAGCCGAATACCGGAGAAATGGAAGCCTGGATTTTTTGATATAGTTGGTCATAGTCATCAAATATTTCATACATTTGTTATTTTTGGTGCATTGGCTCACTATGGTGCTGCGAGGATTTTCTTGGACTACCGGACTCGATTGGGATGTGACAAAAGATAGAGAAATGACGCATTTTGGATACATTGTGTTATGTCTGATACATATAGGGCCAATATTTTGGTATGTAAGAACTATGTATTGTATAGTCAGATGCGAATATAGGGTGAGTACTGTAGTATTCAACTAAACTCATTGTTTTCGGCTCAAACTATGTATACATATGCAGAAAAGAAATAAAAAATATATACATATATTATGATCAATTAATTCAGAGATAATAACCATTGTATGAAGTGCTGCTGGTCTTTGATACCATTTTAAACTATGTATTTCTCTAATTCAGTGAAGATACTTCCAATTGGAAAACTATAGAGTTACTTGATCCGAGAAACATCTCTAAGTTGGCTTATGGTTAGTTTTCTACTCAAGAATTTTTCATTTCTTTTTCCTAATTAATTAAAAGTTTACAAGATAGAAAAATAGTTACGGCAATGATTTAAATTTTTTGGAATAATCATTGTAAATTTTCTCTTAAAAATTATGAAAAAACCAAAAAAGACATGTAATATGAATTCAAAGTAAACTGTACGTGGTTTTAGTGAAATTTATGTTGTTACTCCCTCTTTTCCATTTTACAACAAAAAACTATGTGATTTTCCCTCCATTTTGCTTAAACTTCCATAAAATAGTCGAGGTGAGCGCAATTTATCTAATAATATATAATTTAGTTACTATTATTTTTTCACAACGTTCTATATCTCAATCATATACTTAAACTTTTCATATTTGGAACCTTTTGGGATTTTGATATTATTTCGCTGAGAATATTATTTAATAATTTCATACTACTTCAAGAATTCCAATATACATTTAATTATTCAAATGTTTAAAATCTTAACCCCAAAAAAAAGGCAGTAAAGTAGGTCGTTCTTTCTTTCTATAGGCGACCAACTGTTATAAAAAAAAAGGATTTTTTCATTCCTATACACTATTGGAAACTTTATTACCCTAAATGTTCATGTTTAGTAAATTACCCTACCTACACAAGTTTTATTTACAAAATATATACATTCCACCTTAAAAGGCTCTCAATCCATTATTAGTGCCTTCAATTAAGGGATTTAGTTACACCTTTACCTTTTGTTTGGGAGTTGTCCTCGAGCTATCTCAATTTTTTGTGGATGTCCTGTTTCCAAGTTCAACATAATTCTCCCAACATGCTAAAAAGATACATTATGCATGTCTAAAAAATGTTTATTTTCTTTTTAATGTTATGTGACAATAAATTTCAATAGAAAA